AGATTGCCTGGGTTTGTTGCGTAGGGCGATGTCCTGACTGGACAGTGAGATCCTGGCCTGAAATCATGGCAGTGGGAAGGATGTGAAAATGCAGATGTCAGCAACCCACGTCCACAGATGCTGATTTAATTAGTTGTGGATAAGGCTTGAGCATTTTTTTTTTTAAGTTTCCCTGTGAGTCTAATGTGCTGCCAGAGTTGAGAACCACTGTCCTAGTAGGGAAGGCTCTGGGTGAAAATCTTGACTCTTCTGTTGGCCACTGGTTAATCATGAGCCAAGTTACTTCTCTGTGCCTCAATTTCCTTATCTGTAAAATGGAGATAATCATCGTCTCCATCTCTAGAGTTGTTAAGAAGATCACGTGAGGTAGTACATGTGAAGCTTTCATTTCTTGGTAGCTAGTAAGTCGGCTGCCATCAGTATCAGCTGCTGTAATTATTGGGAGTGTTTGATGGGTTGAGTTTCCTTGTGAGTAAAATTAGGTGCTGAGAGTTGATCTTGGTGCTCCTTCTGATCCTAACAAACCTTGATTTTAATCCCGTTTGTTAGGTTCAGAGAGAGAGAGAGAGAAGCTTGCAATTTGTGTTTACTTTCTTTAATTTATTTGCCCTTGGGCAAAGGGCAATCTGTTGGGGTAAGTAGAAAAGTTAGAGGTGAAAACCTCAAGTCCTTAGTCTGTCTGAAAATATCTAGAGGGCTGTTTTTGACGGATGCTACTCAAATTGTGATCCAGGGGCCAACAGCATCAACATCCCCTGGGTATTGTTAGAAATGTGGATTCTTAGTTCCCATCCTTGGTCTTCTGATTTAGAATTTCTGGAGGTGAAACATAGGCACCTGTATCTTTACAGAGTCCCCAGTCAGTTCATGGAATGTTAAAATCTGAGAAGCACTAGTAGAGAGAGCAGAGTTGTGGCATTTTAACAAAAAATATTTTGTTTCCCTCTGGCTAAATTACACATCCTTCAGATATCAGAGATCTGTGAGGCTCTCTCCCTTGGTTCAGGTCTTGCTCAAATGTAAGAGAAGCCTTCCTTGACAACAACTTAACTCTGTAACAGCCCTTCCTCCCATCTCTTCTTATCCCTTTACCCTGCCTTGTTCTTGAAAGCATCTCTCACTACATTATTGGCTTATTATTTTCCTTGTATCTGTCGTAACATCAGCTCCATGAGATCCAGGTCTTTGCCAGCTTTGCGCACTGCTGTCTCTTTCACATTTGGGATCCTTGGCTGGCGCAGAGTAGGCTTTCCTTAATTCTATGTTGAATGAATGACTCAGGTAGTGAATAACGAGGCCCTGATCCACATGATGTATTTGTCAGGTCTTCATTACAGTGGTCATCTGCAGATCTTTGTTGAGTCCCTACCAAGAGCTTGCAGCAGCATACTAGGTATTGGGGATACAGCAGGAAACACATGTGGGACAGATGTGATGAGTATAAATAAAGTACCTAGTAGGATGTTAGAGAGGGATGTGTGCTAAAGAGGAAAGAATTAAGCAGGGATGGGGGGTAGGAAGTGTTAGGATGTGATTAGGAGATCAGAGTTCTCTATAGGGTGGCCAGGGAGGAACCGTCTGAGGAGGGGAGATTTGAAGAAAGAAGGGAATGATGCTTGCTGTGGCCCTCCTAACAGTCTCTCTGGCCCCCGTCTCTTCCCCCTGTAATCTCCTCCTGTCTGCTGGGAGAGTAATCTGTTTCCAACACAAAAGGAATCTTACTCTCCCTTCCTCCAGTCCTTCGCTGCTCTCCTGCTGACTTGCAGCTAAAACTGGAACTTTCCACATCATCGTGGTTGAATCCTGCCGTCCTGCCCATCTTTTTCTGCCTCTCGTTGGCCTTCACTTAGGTCAGCACTTGCGCTCTCCTGCAGGTTTTCAGTGATACTGCTTCTCTTTGGCTGATAGAGCTCAGTCACCCTCCAGGGCTCAGATCAAGCCATGCTTATGCAGAACCTGCTTCAACTGAGTGTGGGCCTCAGGGCCCGTACTTTGTGCTTCCAGAGGACCCCTTTCGCTACTCTGCTGCTTAGCAATGTGTAGCATAATTACTGGTTTCCTACTCACTAGGTTAGGTAATTGTATCTCTTTTAGTAAGATTTCCATAAGTGTTCATTGAGTTAATAAACTCATATATTTAATGAAGAATTAATAAATTAGCTTGTGTAGTGCTAATTATGCAGGCAATGAAATAGTTGTCATTCTCAATATTTTGATGGACACATTCTGTGGATTTTGCAACAGGAGTCCATGTAGGCACAGACTTTGAATAGCAGAAAGCACCTTCCTAAGATGGTATTTTTAAAAATCCAGAGGCTCTTTTCCTTCCAAAGATGACCTTCATTTTGCCTAAGGACAGGAAATATTGTGAAAGACCTAGAGGAAAAACTTGGAAATAAAACCCTTGCTCTCCTCCCAAATGGGGTCAGCCTCAGAATTTTACCACTTAGAGACCTTAGACCAAAGAGGCTTGTTTCTCTATGTGCCTCTGCCTGATGGTGGCTCGTTCATCAGGACACTGACACCGCTGGGAGTCTGCTGAGCAGTTACTGTGTTACAGGCACTGTTTTAGGCGTTTGAGATATAAAGCTGAGTAAGTATTAATCACAAGACCGACTAATTGTAGACTAATTAGACTAATTTACTAATTATCCCGTTCCCCAGAGGTGATGGAAAGATCTCCCTGCAAAGCACTCTTACTGAGCAGGCGTCGCCAGGGAAATACAGAGTCAGAACAAAGTGAATTACAAATTCCAAGGGTATTTCTTCTAAGATTAGGAAGTTTTACAGTGCCCTTTTCCATACCAGGGTTCTTCTATGTGAAGTCAGATGACTAATAATAATTAATTATTAATTAAATAGTAATTAACCGACTAATTGTAATCTCTTAACCTTGGTATTTCACTCTCAGTTTCACCCTCCCCAGAATCAGAATCATACCCTGAGAGCTATAAGGAGGACTTATATTAGGGCCATTGTGTGTGGATGGGTGGGTCCTTCACTGCGCAGGGGCTCTCGGCTGAAGGGGTGAGCGGTATCTGGAATTCAGCCCACTCTCTGCTCACCATGTCACCCTGAGGAAGGGGTTCCTTGACTATTTTCAGGTAAAGAAGGCATATGGGTAACTTGTATTGAATGCTTAAGCTACCAGACACTGTTCCAAATGTTTTAAGTATAGTCACTTAGGCTGACTAACCTTCGAGTGAGGTTTATGAGGTTATTATGATTGTTGTTGTTGTTATTATTATCCCCAATTTATGGATTGGACATTGAGGCACAAAGTACCACCAAGTTGGAGATGCCAGCGGTTAAATACCAGTGGTCTGAGTCCAGAGCCTGCACCCCAACAACTCTGTTCTCTTCTCCCTCAAGCACATCCTTTGGCTTCAGAGTCCTTTCCCTGTTCTATGTCTGTCTTTTATCCCAGCTCTCAAGTTCTCATTTCTCTTTCCGTAAGACCTTAAATTCCCATCTGCTTATTTTTATCTTTAGAAGCAGCAGAGAGACAAGATCTAGAATACTGGCTGTGATGTGAGAGCTGCATTCAGGTTCCTGCCTCTGGACCTCACCAAGCCTCAGCCTCCTCATCTGTTAAATGGGAACAGCGGTCGTCGTCATCATCATTTATTGAGAACTTCCTAAAATGCCAGGTACTAAGCCAAGGGCATTGCATAAATTAGCCCATTCATTCCCCACAATAATCCTCTAACATTCTGTTTTTCTCTCTTTGTTATAGCTGAGGATGGGCACAGAGGTATAGGAGATTAGACCAGAGTCATACGACTGGTACAACAGTAGTGTCTTCACAGGTACGTGGGAGGTACCTTCATGAAACAATGTGTGCCGAGTGCTTCGCAAGATCCCTAGGATGTACTGTGTTCTTATTTAATGTTAAACATTGCCGTTTTTGTTGTCTTTACCATTAATATGATTACTGTAGCTTGCTAATTTGAATGACATATTGATTATCTAGCTTGTGGTTAAATAAATCTTGCAGAGTCACAGGTTTTTATTGGTTTTTCTTCATCTCCATGATAGAGTCTTTTTAAAGCCCTACTGTTAGCATCGTAAATTTGGCAAGATCCTATGTCTTTTTAAAAAACAGTTGTCCATGTAGTCAAATTCATAGAGAGAGAAAGAATAGTGGTTACCAGGGCTGAGGGGAAGGGGAATGGAGAGTTAGTATTTAATGGGGACAGAGTTTCAGTTTGGGATGGTGAAAAAGTTCTGGAGAGGGGTAGTGGTGATGGTTGCACAACAATATGAAGGTACTTAATGAACTGTACACCTAAAGATGGTTAAAATGGTAAATTTTATGTTATATATGTTTTACACACACACACAAAACCAATCGTCCTTATAATCTTAAATATTATTGCAAAGGCATCAAATTAAGTATGACAAACCAAGAGAGAACAACAGATATTTCAGAAGTTAAAGGTGATTTTCATATGACAGAGCAACGATCTCTAAAGGCTCCATTGGTAGAAACCATTTATGAAGACAGGTTTTATATTACTGAATATTACCTGCTTTTCTGCTGCTACCAAGAAGTAAGGTACTTTGTAAGTGTTCTTTGAGCATTCTGCCTACTCATTTAATTCTTACAACAATCCTATGACATGGGCCTTGTTAATCCCTCCATTTTACAGATGAAAGAATTGAGGCATGGAGATACTAATAATTTGTCCAAGATTTCACAGCTAATAAGTAGCAGTGCCATGAACCCAGGCATTTGGCCCCAGAGATTACTCTCTCCACCTGGCTCCTTTATTCTCAATTTCTACCCTCCCTAGAATCAGAATCATACCGAGCACTACAAGAACTTGTATTAGGGCCACTGTGTGTGTTTGGGTGGGTCCTTCACTGCGCAGGGGCCCTCTGCTGAGGGGGAAGTGGTATCTGGAACCCAGCCCATGCCGTGCTCACCGGGCCACCCCGAGGAAGGGGCACCGTTGCTATTTCACGTACAGCAGCCATATGGGTTAGCGACATCCTAGGCCAGACTCTGATGGCTTTTTTCTCCTTCCCCTGTTGTGCCTTCCCTAGACTCAGCCCTTTCCCAGAAGGAGGAGGACAGAATGACCAAGTTCAAGGTGAGTTGGGCTTGCCTTTCTGGGTTTTCAATTGTCCTCTTATTTTCAATGATTACACACCTCCTGTTTCTCTTTCTTGGGAAGGATTAAAGAGAACAGTAGGCCTTTGGGAACTTCTTATGATCACGACTTTTTATTTTAGTGTAGTTTACTTTTTGTTATTTTATCACCTTTTATAAGTTCACAAATAAGAGTAGGGTAGGAAAAGTCAATAGCAGTGAAAAAAAATCTCCCACTTTACTACTGTTTTCCTTACAAAACAACTGTTTTCATTTTCCCATGTTCTTGTCCTCTCATGCATTCATAACTGTATATTTGTAATCATTATATAGTTAAAATTCTCAAATTGTGTCTTTTCTAATGAATATTATATACCCTACATTTTTAATGGCAACATGACATTCCCTTGAATTGATGTACACTGTGTGAGTGTGTGTGTGTCTGTGTCTGTGTGTGTCTCATAACTTTTCCCCATTCATGGATATTTAGGTAGTTCAGAATTTTTAGTATTTTAAAGAACATTCTAATAACAGTTTTCATAATGTAACTATTTTCCTCAAAAGGGAATTTGGAGGAGTTTGCCATCCTTCTTAATGTTTTAGGAACTCAAAATTGACAAAGTACATTTGCTATGCGGTACCTCGGGTATTTTGTATGTAGAACATTCAGCTATGGCGTGGTGCTCCAGGGTCTAATTGATGCTTCACACAGAGAAAATATTAGATATTTTCACATAAGAAAGCTAGATTGGGCCAGCCCGGTGGCTTAGCGGTTAAGTGCGCGCGTTCCACTACTGGCAGCCCGGGTTTGGATCCCGGGCGCGCACCGACGCACCACTCGTCCGGCCATGCTGAGGCCGCGTCCCACATACAGCAACTAGAAAGATGTGCAACTATGACATACAACTATCTACTGGGACTTTGGGGAAGAAAAAAAGGAGGAGGACTGGCAATAGATGTTAGCTCGGAGCCGGTCTTCCTAAGCAAAAAGAGGAGGATTAGCACGGATGTTAGCTCAGGGCTGATCTCCCTCACAAAAAAAAAAAAAAAAATGAAAGCTAGATTGTTTCTTACCCATATCTGAGTCATGTCATGTGCATGTTTTATTTACTGATTTATATTTGTTATTCATGTGTTAATTTATTTTATTGAAGTAATAATGTACTAATTTAAAAAGTCCAGGAGTACAAGAGGATTTGCCAGATACTTTTCTTTTCTTGCTGCATTTAGTCTCAGACCAACCTTGTGAGGCAATACTTGGTCTCATCTGCATTTTAATTACAAAGAAGCAGGATTGTAGAATTTCAGAAAGCTGATTAGGTTCACATGGGAAACCAAAGATCCAACTGATCCAAAAAACTCCTAGGATTTTTACTTAGATAAAGAGAGCGAGGCAAGGGAACAGAATTCTCCGGTCAGGGACCTAGTCCTTTGTGTGTGGTACCTAATTGTCCTGGAAGGTAGAAGATACCACAGATAATACTGCCTGTACCTGGTGAGTCTTCAGTGGCCCCTTCTCTGTGATCTCTGTTGCTCATTTAGGGCACCTGGAGGTGCAGGGCTCTGGTGATGAACACAGTCTTCATAATGAGAAGTTAAGACAATACTATGCATTAATGATTCTTAATCATGGGCAATTTTGCCCCCAGGCAACGTCTGGAAACATTTTTGCTGTCACAACTTGAGGGATGCTACTGATAGTGTGTAGAAGCTAGGGCTGCTGCTAAACATCCTACTGTGCACAACAGATAATGATCTGGCCCAAAATATCAGTAGTGCCAAGGATGAGAAACCATGCTGTACACAAAGCTATACAAGGACAATAGCAAAATGTGGATGGAAATATTTATAATATATATGTTAAAAAACCAAAAGCTTAAAATCTCTATAGAAACTTTTACAGTCATAAAACCCCAATTGGAGTATGAGCAAAGAACATTAACAGACAAGGTACTGAAGAAAAATTAAAGATGGCCAGTAAATATATGAAAATATGATGAGCTTATTAATTATCAATAATAGAAATAACCAAAATAAGTTGTTTTTTACTGATCAGATTACCTAAGATTTAAAAACTTTGGTTATAGTCAGCGTTGTGTATGGTACAGAGAATCAGGAATGCTGATATTCTCTTGGGGGAGGGATAAACTAGCAAAAAAGTTGAAGAGAAAATCTGCCATTGTACATAATAATTTTGAAGTTGCGTATTCTTTGACATTGCAGTTTTCACATCTTGGAACTTATAAGAAAATAATTAGACGGGGAGCTAATATCTGTGTAAAAAGTTGTTCTTTTCAGCATTGATTATGAAAAGAAAAAATCTAAAATGTAATATGCGTTATTTGGAATGTTTATATTATAGTAAAATTGACTCTAGTCTCTTGGAATCTGAAGCCACTTCGTACACATCCTTTCCACTTTTCTCAGTGCTACCCTCCTTCCAGTGGACCTTTGTTGCAAGATTGAGGTTACGTGTGTTTGGTGTTGTAGGAGGCCGTGACCTTCAAGGACGTGGCTGTGGTCTTCACGGAGGAGGAGCTGGGACTGCTGGACTCCGCCCAGAGGCAGCTGTACCGAGACGTGATGCTGGAGAACTTCAGGAACCTGCTCTCTGTGGGTGAGGACAGGCGCTCTGTGACTGAACTTCAGCCCCCTGCGGTGTGTGTGTGTCCTTGGACATGTGGGGCTTTGGAGCTCCTGAACTGGTTTCCAGTTTTCTAATTAGCAGGAGACACAGAGGTGGCATTTCTCTAGTCTTTCCCCCACCACCACCTAAACTGTGTGTTTTGTAAATGAACTGTAAATTGACAGCATGACTGCTATACATTTTTGGCCTTTCTCAAGTTGTTGTCTCCAATTAGTGAGTCAGCACCTACATTTAGGGAATTGTACCAGCATTTTTTAATGAAATAAAATAGGGTAGAAAATACCAGGGCCCTTGCCAATAAATGCACATTGCAGCAAAACTATGGCTTATTGCCAAGAATAGCGTGAGAAATGGTGGAGAGGATGTGATGAAAATAGACATTTTTTTCCTGTAATTTATACTTATGTCTATGTATCCTGGATTTTTGCATAAAGTGTATTTCCTCTGATGGGTCATAATTAACAGTTTGGAAAACACTCATTTTGATGTCCTGAGATGACGCAGAGAACCACAATTGTTAGTAATTTTGCCTCTAATGTATTGATTTTAAATATTTGTCCTTGGCTTTTCCCAGGGCATCAGTCCTTCACACCAGATGTAATACCCCAGTTAGAGAGAGAAGAAAAGCTTTGGATGATAAAGACGGCAAGCCAGAGCTGGAGCTCCCCAGGTGAGAGCCGTGCGCCTCAGTCTGTCCTGCTTCCTGTCACCTCCACAATGATGACTCGGGTCCGAGTCAGTGCCTAATCTGCACAGGCTGCAGGCTTTGTCTCACTCCCCCTCTTCAGCTTTGCTCTTTTACAATCAGTTCTCTACTCGAAGTAATTCTTTTGTTTTTGCTGGGAAAGATTTGCCCTGAGCTAACATCTGTTGCCAGTTTTTTTTTTCTCCCCAAAGCCCCAGTACATAGTTGTATATTCTAGTTGTAGGTCCTCTAGTTCTTCTATGTGAGCTGCTGCCACAGCATGGCTACTGACAGACGGGTGGTATGGTTCCACGCCTGGGAACTGAACCCGGGTCGCCGAAGTGGAGTGCACCAAACTTTAACCACCAGGCCATCAGGGCTGGCTCTTGAAGTGATTCTTTTGAATGTTTGTCAGATCTCGTCAGTCCTTTGCTTAAAACCTTTAGTCGCTTCTTATCTGATTCAGAGTAAGTTCCAGGTGGCTCATAATATCCCACTGGCTGCTGCTCCATCTTTCCCCATCCTTCTGTAAACATGACCTTTCATTTTCCTCCATGTCAGTCTATTCCACCCAATTTTGCCTCTTTGCTGTGCCAAGCATGCTCTGCTGGTCACCCTCCCCTGGTTCTTCTTTCTCTCAGGAGTGCTCTTGCGCTCTGTCATCCCCTTGGCCCCTCCCTCACTTCACGCAGGTCTCTTCTCAGATGTAACATCGTAAGAAAGGCCTCCCGTGACCACTCTATTCATAATACTGTATTCTTCCTCCACTCTTTCCTTTACCCTGTCTTACTTGGTGTCTAAGCATTGATCACCACTTGCCAGATAAACATATATTTTTGTTTTTGTCACTGTATTCCCGTTGGAATATAATCTCAGGAGAGGAGAAATTCTCTTTATTGCTATATCCTCAGTGTATAGAACAGACTTGGCAGAGGGCAGGCATGCTATAAACATTTGTTGAATGAATGAATGAGTTAATAATGGTTACTTGGACTTTTTTCCATTAGTCATGGAGATACTTAAAGGGTAGTAATCAAAAATGTGTGATGGAGGCACAGTCTAGAACAGTGTTTTCCCCCCAGTGAGTGTCTAATTTTAATTTATTAGATGCTTGTGGATATATGTAGATATGTGTCCATTAAACCCCATCTAATGAGAGCTTAGCTTTGCACTTGTAACCAAATTGATTATCATTTCCCCCCCGTGGCTTTCCTGCAGGCTTTAGTAGTAAATCATAGTGTCTTGGTAAAGAACTACTTTTTAGAATGAAGATTCTAATAGTCATTTTATACAGATATACCTTTACTGCTTAAAAGCTCCTGTAATATTTTTCTGTTCCTGTTAATGCTTGTCACAAGCTACTAAATTTATTTCACACTCAATCCCAGTCTTCAGCTTGAAAGACAGTGGTGTGGTCCATATAGGAACATCTATCAGTTGGAGTCTGCTTTCCCAGACAATGTTATTCCTGAGGTTTTAGGTATTGACTCCTACGTGCAAAAGGAAAAATTTTACACACTTAGAAAGGGAGTACAAAAATTACAGAAGCAATCAATCCATAGGCCCTATGGCCACTTTTAGGCCTTTTCCTTTTTTTTTTTTAAACCTCCCAAGTGATTTGAGCCATGATTTTGTGATCAACGTGATTTTCTCATCAGTAACACCTGCTTAGTTTAGCCCTGTATCTGGTGATGCCTTTCAACTTCCCAGAACAATTGCTGTTTCCAATCCTTTTCCTATTATGGGTAAGTTACTTGAAAAAGCTCTTTTACTTGTGTAACACAGCCCGAACTCTCACAAAGAAGTCAAATTGGGATTCATGTATCCATTCAGCGTGTATTTGTTGAACACTGACTGCGTTAGGCAGAGTTCTGGGGGTGGTGATAAAGTAGTGAGCAATGTGAAAAGCTTATCCTTGTGGGTATTGCATTCAAGTGAGAGAAGACACAAAACAGATAAAGGACAAATGTAGTATGTCAGATGGTAATATGTGCCGTGTAAAAACAAAGCAGGGGGGCGGCCTGGTGGTGTAGTGGTTAAGTTCATGCGCTCCACTTCAGCGGCCCGGGGTTCGCAAGTTCAGATCCTGAGTGAAGACCTACACACTGCTTATCAAGCCATGCTGTGGCAGGCATCCCATGTATAAAGTAGATGAAGATGGGCATGGATGTTAGCTCAGGGCTAATCTTCCTCACAAACAAAGGGCAAAAAACAACAACAAAAAACAAAGCAGGGTAAGGTGAATGGAGATTGCCAGGGCTGTAGAGTGGATAGGGAGCATTTACTGTTTGAGATTGGGTAGTAAAAGGCCTCACTGATAAGGTGTTATTTGAAGAGAGATGTGAAAAGAAGTCAGTAGCAAGCTCTATGGCTAATTGGTGGAACAGAGTTCCAAGGAGAACATAACTCTTCCTGTCCAGTGTCGACTTGGAGAATCTATACTATGCCCTATTTATTTCCTCCTCACAAGTTCTTGCTCTGTTGTAAAAGATTAGCTTCTAATTTTTTACTTTTTTTCCCCCTGGAGGTTATGGGTACTTTAATTGCTTTGATGCTTTAGAGTAGTTTATGTTATTACTGTAAACCTCTTCCCCAAGTTGTCCTCCTGAAGGATATTTTCCAGCAGGACATGAAGGACCACTCTTTGCTCACTACTCTGAACTTTAGGAATTTAGGTGATAAGGTATTTTCTCCCAAACATGTGTCTTTCCAACTAGTCTAATGCCACAAAGGCTCCTAACATTGGAGTAAACTTCCAATGAAATAATTCAAAGCAAAGGTTTTCAACATTGCACGGGGACATCTTCTGATAATCTGTCTGTAAGAGTTTTGCTAGACCTTTTGAGCATTTGGTCAGATGTGCATGCAGTAGGCAGAATTATGTAGGAGCTATTTATTAGACACCTGCTGCAGCAAAATAAGACAGGCTTTTAGTAAGGTGCAGTTTTGTCTTTGTAAAGATTCCCTAGGAAGTATTTTTCTTGCTCTGCAGCTACCAGATTTCTAAGTTGCAGCTCACTTATGAAACTTAGAATGATTCTAAGTGGAATTTGTTAATGCATAATAAATGAGAGCCTGGTGGTCTGCATCTTGGTTTCTGGAGGCATGTAAATCAGAGAACATGCTACATGATGATAAAGAAAAATGGAACCTTCTCTTGGTTAAAAAAAGCCTTAGGGTGTGGGCCTAAGTTTGTAACATTGACATTTCTAAACAAAGCATTCACATGCCACATCTCCAAATTCTCTTACCCTTTTAGGACACAAGAATCTAAATGACCTGGAGATGCTTCATGAAGTTGGATTAAGGTACCTGCCACATGAAGAGCTTTTCCACTCACAAATCTGGCAACAGGTTACAAAGGAGTTAACCAGATGTCAACACTCCATGGTAAATATTCAAGGAACTGGCTCTCATGTGGAAAAACAAGGTGATGCACTCTGTAAATGTGAGGAATTTGGTAAAGGCTTTAATCAGAGTTCACATCTTCAAGTTCACCACAGAGCCCAAACTGGAGAAAAACCCTACAAACGAGAGGAGTGTGGGAAAGATTTCATTCGGGGCTCTCATCTTCAAATTAACCAGAAGGCCCGTGCAGGAGAGAAGCCCTATAAATGTGAAAAATGTGAAAACACCTTCCGTCGGTTTTCAAGTCTTCAAGCCCATCAGAGAGTCCACAGTAGAGAGAAAGCAGACAAATATGATACATCATGTAAGGGTTTCAGTCAGAAGTCGTATCTTTGTCATCATCAGAGAGGTCCCACTGGAGAGAATCCACACAAATTTGAGGAGTGTGGGAGGAGCGTCAGGAAAAGCTCTCATTGTCAAGCTTCTCTGATAGTCCAAACATTAGAGAAACCCTATAATTGTGAGGAGTGTGGGCTGGGCTTCAGTCAGAGCTCTTATCTTCGAGTCCATCAGAGAATCCACATGAGAAAGAAACCTTATCAATGTGAAGAGTGTGGGAAGGGCTTCAGTTGGCGTTCACGACTTCAGGCTCATCAGCGAATCCACACTGGAGAGAAACCATACAAATGCGATGCATGTGGCAAGGGCTTTAGTTATAGCTCACATCTTAACATTCATTGTAGAATCCACACGGGAGAGAAACCTTATAAATGTGAGGAGTGTGGGAAAGGCTTCAGCGTGGGTTCACACCTTCAAGCCCATCAGATAAGCCACACCGGAGAGAAACCATACAAATGTGAGGAGTGTGGGAAGGGCTTCTGTCGGGCCTCAAATCTTCTGGACCATCAGAGAGGCCATACTGGTGAGAAACCATATCAATGTGATGCATGTGGGAAGGGCTTCAGTCGTAGCTCAGATTTTAACATTCATTTTAGAGTCCATACTGGAGAGAAACCCTATAAATGTGAGGAGTGTGGGAAGGGCTTCAGTCAGGCGTCAAATCTTCTGGCCCATCAAAGAGGCCACACTGGAGAGAAACCATATAAATGCAGTACATGTGGGAAGGGCTTCAGTCGGAGTTCAGATCTTAACGTTCATTGTAGAATCCACACAGGAGAGAAACCCTATAAATGTGAGAAGTGTGGGAAGGCCTTCAGTCAGTTTTCAAGTCTTCAAGTGCATCAAAGGGTCCATACTGGAGAGAAACCATATCAGTGTGCAGAGTGTGGGAAGGGCTTCAGTGTGGGTTCACAGCTTCAAGCCCATCAGAGGTGCCATACTGGAGAGAAGCCATACCAATGTGAGGAATGTGGAAAGGGCTTCTGTCGGGCCTCAAATTTTCTGGCTCATCGTGGAGTCCACACGGGAGAGAAACCATACCGATGTGATGTGTGTGGTAAGCGCTTCAGACAGAGATCATACCTTCAAGCCCACCAGAGGGTCCACACTGGAGAGAAACCATATAAATGTGAAGAATGTGGTAAAGTCTTCAGTTGGAGCTCATACCTTCAAGCCCATCAGAGAGTCCACACTGGAGAAAAACCATACAAATGTGAGGAGTGTGGGAAGGGCTTCAGTTGGAGCTCGAGTCTTATAATTCATCAGAGAGTCCATGTTGATGATGAGGGTGATAAGGACTTTCCCTCATCAGAGAATTCATACAGGAAAGAAGCCCTATAAAATTATATGTTTTCATACCTCAATGGGTGCTGAAATAGTCCTGTCATGGAAGACAAAGCATTTATTTCATAAGAGTCAGCCAGAGCTTGACATGTTACAGTGGCTGGGTGACCACACAGCAGAGAAGCCTCGTGAGAATGGGGACATAAGGACCTGATTCAGAACCTTGACATTGAGCAGATATTACACAGAAGAGAGGCTTAGGAAGGATGAGTCTGATTTGGAGTTAACCAACAGTACTAAGATGGAAATGCCAAAATTGATTCCACTAGCATATACACTCCAAGAGGATAGGGACTTTCTTGACTGTCAAATCTACTCTGCCTTTTCAGTGCCTAACACAGTGTAGGTCTTTAGTGATCGTTAAATGAGTAAAAGGGCCACCAGTCACAGTTGAAATTTTTTTTCAGTTCATTTCTGAAAATTCTACTTAGAAGAGGAATTCAGCAAGCCTTGGAAGACATTTACATTAGACCACTTGGGCTCATTTTCCCAACCATGCAGATCATGTGAACTAGTGATTATAAACTGAAAGTTGTAACCCGTTAGTGATTCCAGAAATAATTCAGCAAGTTGTGAACAGGAGTTTTTTATGCTAACAATTCAGGTATAATTTGCATGCAGTAATATGCATAAATCTCAAGGTTATGGCTTCATGAATTTTGACAATGCATACACATGTAATCATCACCGAGATTAATGTATATGATATTTCTATTAAACCAGAATGTTGCCTTGTGCCCGTTTCTGGTCACTCCACCTCTAGTGGCAACAATTACTGTGATTTCTATACTAGATTAGTTAGGTCTCTTGAGCTTCATATGGGTTCAGTATATACTCTTTTGTGACTGGATTCTTTTGATCAAATATATGATCCTCTCAATAGATTCAGAGAAAACATTTAACAAAATTCAACATCCATTCATGATACAAATTCCTCAATGAGATAAAAGGCATCTATGAAAATCCTACAAGCTAGGCTTTCTTTTTTAAATTATTATTATTAAGGAATAATTTATATACAGTAAAATCTACTCTTTGGTGGATCATTTCGTGTTTTGGCAAGTGCTTACTGTTGTGTTACCACTACCACAATCAAGACATTTAGCAGTTCCAGCACCCTTGCCCTGAGATTCCCCTGTACCCTTTTGTAGTCAACCCATGGCACCTCCTCCCCCTGTGTTGGCCGCCACTGACCTGTGTTCTGTCTGTATAGTTTAGCTTTTCCAGAATGTCGTATAAATGGAATCATATAGTATGTAACCTTTGGAATCCGGTGTCTTTCAGTTAATGCTCCTGAGATTACATCCATCTTGATATATGTATTGGTAGTCGTTCCCTTTATTGCTTTGTGGTGTTCTGTTGTATGGAGGTACCATACTTTATCCATTTATGATTTGAAAGATATTTGGGTTTCCAGTTTTTAGTGATTATGAAGAAAGAAGCTGTGAACATTCACATACAGGTTTGTGTGTCAACATAAGTTTTCTTTGTCTTAGTAAATATTTAGGAGTGGGGTGGCTGGGTTGTATGGTAAGACTGTGTTTAACTTCATGAAAAACGAAAACTTTTCTAAGATGGATATACCATTTTGCCTTCCCACCATCAATGCATATCAGGGTTTTGTTTTGTTTTTAGTATTTCAATAGGTTTATAGTGATATCTCATTTTGGCTATAATTTACATTTCCATAATGACTATGTTGAGCATCTTTCCTATGAATGTTTGCTAATCACATACCTATTTTCTTGGGTGAACTATTTTCTTGTTCTTGATTTTTTAGTGTTCTTTATATGTTCTGGATACATGTCCTTTGTCAGTCATGTGTTTTGCAAATATTTTATCCCTGTGTGTGGTTTGTGTTTTTTATTCCATTAATATTTTTTACAGATGGAGCTTTTTTGACTTTTGATAAAGTTCAATTTTTGTCTTGCATGGATTGTGCTTTTGGTTTCAGATAGAAGAACTCTGCCTAAACCAAGGTCACAAAGATTTTTCTCCTCTTTTTTAATCTAAAAGTTGTATGGTTTCAGATTTTATATTTAGGTCTGTGATCCATTTGAGTTAATCTTTATAAAGTGTGAGGTCAAGGTCCATTTTTTTTTGCATATGAATATCCAATTAACTATCTTTTCAGCATTGAATTGCTGTTGCCCCTTTGTGAAAAATCATTAGCCGGTACCTGTAGGGGTCTTTTTGTGGCCTCTATTTGGTTCCATTGATCTGTGTGTTTGTCATCTTGCCAATATGTAGCTTTATACAACAGGTCTTGAAATCAGATAGTATGAGTCTTCCAACTCCATTCTTTGTTTTCAAAATTATTTTGGCTATTGTATTTTGCCTTTCCATAATTTTCAAGTCAACTTTGTGATTTTTAAAAATAAACTCTTGCTGGGAGTTTTGTTGGGATTGCATTTATATATATAGACGAGTTTGGGGGAAAATTGACATCAATATTGACTATTCTCAACCATAGACTACAGTATATCTGCTTATTTAGGACTCCTTTTCTTTCTTTCATCAGTAGTTTGTAGTTTTCAGCATATAGATCTTGCACATATTTTATTAGACTTATACCTAAGTAGTCTGTGCTTTTTGGTGCTAAATTAAATGGTACTATTTTTCAAATTTCAATTTCCAATTGTTCATTGCTAGTATATTCAACATATTGTTTTATGTTGACCTTGTATCCTACAATATTGCCAAACTTGCGTATTAGTTAAAGTTGCTGTTCTGTAGATTCCTTGGGATTTTCTGTGTAGACAATCATGTCATCTGGAAAAAGTTTTATTTCTCCCTGCCAATTGATATGCATGTTACGGTGACTCCACTGTGACACAAGGAAGCTGCCCCCAACATTAGGTTTGGATGACAAAACTCATGACAGTAGTCCTTTGGTATGATCAAAGGTGGAAGGGATGACTGTCTAGGAGAAGGTCCAGAACAGAGAGAAAGAATAATGTTCCATGTAGAGGGGAAGTCTTGCCTGCACAAAGTTTAAAAGAGGTGGTGGGAGGACCTCATCAGGATTGTGAAGGAGACGGTAGACATGGGCAGGAGATGAGGCTCGTAGGTTGCTGGCATTAAGTCATGTCCAAGTTTCTTTCCTGTGGTCTTCACAATTCACCCCTGACGTTTGGGCTAGCATGGCAACCTCCCAGGTTTTCCTGTAAATAAACTTGTATTTGAGAGAGACCACATTTGCAAAGTTAACCGAAAATAATTAGGTCAGCAATTATTGTGCTAGCTCCCTGAAAGATAATGTAGGGCCAGATAATGTTAATCTGAAGAAGAAATCAATAGGGGTTCAAGAAATCTCTTGGAATATTTTAGTAATTTAATAAAATCATCAACTATTTGGGTTTGTTGTTTTATCTGTTGAATTGTTCTGGAGACCTTTCCTGTATTAGTGACCTACATGCAGCCAGAGGTTACCTTTAAGCATCCACATTGAGGTGCCAGTAGGTAGTCTAATGCAATATGTTATCAGCTACCATAGCAGGTACAGAGTTTTCTCTCTCATTAAGGGCTTCTAAATCTTGGGCTGTTGGGTACATGTGGTCTGCCAGGAGTTGTGGCATTGTTTGGCTGGCTTCTAAGTGCTAAGTCTGTGCTATAGAACTGAAAAGACTTAGAATTATACCTATTATACCAAAGATTGTGATAAGGCCCAATTCATAGTAAAAGCCTGTGTGTACGTTTTTATGGGAGGGGCATACATCAGTGCATACATGTGGGGGCCATATAGTTTCAATAGTTGTATATAATTATATCAATTGTTGTAGAGGCCTGGAAGGGCATGGGAATTGTGAAGGGAAAGTTAATGAGGAAGAACCTCGTGAGGTTGAGGGAGCGCTGGGGGAAGTAAGGGAGTTGGAGGGTGACTGAAGAGGATGGTGAGCAGTTAATATGGATAGCAAAGACCTCCAAGGACTATGGGAATTAGTTTGTAAGTGGTTACCCAGGCTGGGGTGCTTGGTGGTAGGCCCAGCATTGGTTTGTCTTTTGGGTGACATGTTCTGGTACTGTTTTATAGATATTATCTGGCAGGTTGAGGGAAGTAGGAAGTTGTGTGGTGATGAGGGAATAGTGGAGAGTGAAGCATGGATTGTTGGACAAGGGGATTGGAGCTGATGTGGTTGTGGGGGTCATAGTGGAGAGTGGTGTGGGAGCAGTTAAAGAGGCAGTTATGTCCAGGTCCCAACTGTTAATAATGGAGGGAAGTGGAGTTTTAGACCTTTTTGCAGGTATAATTTCACCCAGAAGTGAAATTAAGTGGTGGTTAGGGTGTAAGTTGGCTAATTTGCAGGGTGTTGGCTTACACCAAAAGGACAACACATGAGGAGGGAATAGAATGGGTTAAGCACAAACCTAAAACTGCTAGGTGTTCCTTGATGCAGTGGAGTAGGTAATAGGCAATGGTAGGTCCCTGTATGCTGTCATTCATCAGGGCTTGGTTAAGTTTAGGTAAGTAAGGGTCTGTTTACATTGTGTAGGAGAGGGGAATATGGAGGTTGCAGAGACTTACTTAAGCAGGGAGAATGGGAGCTTCAGTTAAGCAGTCTACAATGTTGGTATGGGCTAGGTTGGGAACAACGTGTAAGCAAGGCTGCATAGATTGAAACTTGGGAGATAAGACGGAAGGTGAGTGAGAAGAAAAGGCAGTTGGAGAAGTTATAAGGGATACTGGAGGAAATACATTAAGTGGAAGAGCCAAGTGTTGGGTTTGGAGCAGAGGGGGCATCAGAATCTTTATATGATGAGTTCTGGCGTGAAATTCTGATAGGACATCTCAGGGTGTCAGGATCAAGGTTGGAACTGTCGATTGTGCTGAAGTCATCATTTGGGATGCTTTGGTCTTCGGGGCTGAAATCTTGATCTCTGAGCTGATGGTTGTCTGCTCTGTCATCTGTGATTGATAGCCTGTGGATGGTACCTGTAAGGACCTTTGTATAGTAGAGGATGGAGACGCCTAATATGAGTCCTGAGTTAACTGCAAGACCTCAAGGCAAAGTTCTACATTTGAGAATTGTTTCAAGAGTGACTGAAGACCAGTAGATGCTGTAGGGCACAATTGGCTCTATATTGGGTGGCCACATATGCGTGATATGTCAGATGTAAGTAGCCTTAAGAGCATTGCCCATGCAGGTCCACGTTTTGTCTTCTATCCTTTTTATCTCCACTTGTTATTGAGTAAATTCTTATGGGAAAGCTGTGAAGTGATTGAATGCCCCAAACAAATAGAGATGACAGAGGAGTTTGGCGTTGAGGAGGAGTGAGTTTAGGTGAAAGGAAGCCCAAGGAGTGTGGCATTGAGTTGGAGTGGTAGAATCCCAGACACAGATCATGAGCCAAAGATATGGTCAGGCCAAGTAGAGCCAGAATGCCCCACAATTACATGTTTGTGCCTCTG